GACAGTTTGTTCGGAGTTCCTGAAGAGAACGGCAAAGCGAATTTCCACAGCTCAACTCTAATGGCACCCAAATATCGGGTTTTGAGACCAATCTGAGCGTTCGCTGATAATTGTTTATTACCCAGTCTAGTAACGGTAGACATCACCTATTGACGTCCTTTTATCACCGTATGTGGTGCCGAGTACTCCAGTGAGGGACGATACCTAGGCACCTTAATGACACTCTCAACTTCTGTAGCCACCTCTTGCATCTTTGATCATCCTCGTGCACCAAAATATTATTAATCGCACACTTTTACGTATTCTTCCTCATTTGGTTTCAGACAGGCTTACTTTGATAATGTTTTGTGTCATTTGCGGTCATGTTTACAAACCAAGAGTGGACGTGGATGTCATTGACTTCTCATTCGAATCACAGCTGAGGCTTGAGTTACAACAAAAAAGTTTATTCTAACTAATAAGAAAAGGGGAGAAAGTAATGTGTCAACCTAAGATCACCGTCACTATTGTCATGTCTAAGGCAATGAAATAAGCGATAATTGCTGTCACGTTCATTATGTGCCCCTCCCCTTTGAATTTTATTTGTTGCTGGGTCGCTCAACATGTCTCGTGAATTTGTGCTTTTAAATGCATGGAGCAATTATTTTGACATGAGATAGTGAGGAAAGTCTCAATGCGGCTTAACTTTCGACCTAGTAGTGACATTTCGCCATATTACAGGTGTGCATCAAGGAAAATGCGCATTTGTCCAAGCTACTCGGGTATTTCGCCTTTTATCCTCTTTTTCCCCTAAAGTGTTTGTTTGTTTTTGTTCCACAATTCATTTTCCATAGTTCAGGCATCATTACTCCACAAGCTTGTGATGTCAGATACAAAATTCACTTATCTCTACTGACAGCTGATGAAGAATCGACAGAAGAGGAGATAAGGTTCAAACTTCCAACCTGTTTCTCCCTCTGGAGATCTTTAATTTCTAAGACTTTCACATTCAAAAAAGTGAAGGACACAGAACATATGATGTTACTTTCAGTGGCGGTTTTTGATTGTTTTCGCATGTGACAGCTCTGTCAAGGCCACGAAGAATGCTAAAGGCAAGGTTCAGTATTTTTAATTTAGTTGCAGGCGCATTAACCCACGCATGTCTTTTGGGAAAAGAGTATTGGCAAATTTTTGTGTTGCTTACTGTATGGAGTCTTAGAAATGTAAACAACATTCGTAATTTCATTGAAAAACTCTGCTCTACATATACCCAGTATACTGAACTCCGTTGTTGAATTGAGCGTGTTTCTGTAGTTCTTAAATGGATAATTTTGAACAAATCAGGGACGGTGGACTCGGTTATTCCCCTCACATTTGTAGCGAAGTATTTGTGACATGCTGCGCAAGTCCAAGTGTCAAAGAGGCTGCATGAGAGTAACGGTTACACTGGGTTATTTCGATATGTGAGAGCGTTGAATCCGTTTGTATCATCGGCCACGAGAAAGGGACTACCGAAAGAGCGTCACTATGGCCTTATCAAGTCGAAGCAACTTTACAGCAGTAATTGATCAATACTCGGTTATCAACCCCTCAAATCAAATGAGTGTCCCCACAAACCCTTACGGAAGCTATTTCAGTTTTGGTATTGTACATTACACCAGGTGGTTTGAGACAGTAACTCAATACATCAAGAGTTATAATGAAAAACTAAAGAGGTCTCATAACTCTGTCTTCAGAAAGTAAAACTTCGTCCTTCTTGAAGAAGCGTAATTTCCGTATTGGGTAGTTGAAATCGTTAGACTTATGGCTCCCTCATATTCAATTCATTATCGGTGTCAAAAACGTTATGCTTAATTTTATATGACCTGTTTTAACTGGTGTGCTTAATGTTTCCCCCTATATACTTCAGTAGATTTTGGCACAGGACATGGCAGAAAAGTACACTCAGTAAATGCCAGTTTGTATTCGGGAAGCAGAACCAGTTGGTGACCCAGTAAACATCGGAAGCGGAGGGCGAGACTAACCAGACTCGAAATAAGCCTTAAATCTACTTAAAAAGCGAAAAAATTAAAGAATCCGCTGTCAAAAGAACGAAATTTTAGTGGTTTTAATTTGTTTA